AAAGTAAACTTTAAAGCTAATTCCATTCGCAACATCAAGCAAAGCGGTAGTTTTTAGATTTCTAGTTTATGAATAATGGAATTTATTTCATTTCAGAATCTTCTTTGTAGGTCTAAAGAGAACCTACCATTTTTTTTCAAGTTTTTCAAATAATCCTCCACTTAACTTTAGCTATTCATAAGACTCTCATTAGCTTGTCATAAGTCACCCATTAAAATCTAGATTATCATAAACTACTCATTAAATTTTAAGTTATAATAAAATTCACAATAATTCACAGAGGTCCCAGTGCAACGCCCAAATTACTTTATCATCATCCATAACTTCTATAGCGACCCCAAAAGAATATATATCCGAAAAACACATGTTAGGATATCCGTTTACACTACCTGAGCACGTGTACCAGGTTTGGTCTCGCTGGCTTTTAAGAAGGAGTATAAACACAGATTCAAAAATAGCATCCCCAGAATTCTGGGATGAGCCACAAACAGAAATAAAATGCCAGATTTGATTCAAGCGACCCTTGAAACCTGTTCCTAGACCTCCACCAGGCCTGTGTGACCTATCGGGCGCAACTTATCTTATCTTATTAGGGGAGAGGGGTATGAAATATAAATAAGGACCCTCGGCCCACCACGAGTCCGCCGGCAAAGTTTGGTTCTTATGGCTTCCAAACTGTGGGAGAAGTTCGAGGACAAACAAACAAATTCACAAATACGCAACGTGAATTAATAAAATCAGTATGTCACCAAGACTGGTTACCTGAAGGGTTAGTCTCCTCTTCTTTATCGGTATTTTCTACACATATCTTCACTACCAATGAGTTTCATTAAATATACTGGATCAGCCACGAAACGCTTGTACAACGTCTGTTGTATGAAGTGATGTTTCTTATATAATTATTCGTAAAAATCGCGTCATGCAGTCGTTATTTTAAAGAATTTCTTAAGAGATGGAATAACATCTTAGTCCTAATAGTCAACAAACGTGCGTATAATGTACATCTTTAACATTATCGCGAACTTCCATTGGACAATTTCATTAATGCATGTGGACTTGGGATCAACCTAGATGTACAGGTCACTGAACCCTAGATATAGAAAATATTTAGTGTAAACTTACAGGTTACTGTGTGTTTATATAAAAAAAAACACATTCAGAGTAAACTTACAGATAACTATGTGTAGATGTGAAGAACATTCAGCGTAAACTACGTTCCATTTGTTATACACAACTTTCCTAAGTTCGAATCTTATGTAAAATGTGGACGTATTACGTACGCCTAGAGTATATTTCAGGTTTATTTACTACGGAAGTTCAGGCAGTTTTTCCTTTCATAAATTCGATTAATTATGTTTGGTATGTTAATAAACAAAGCAAATTTCCTCATCAAGAAATGACTCCCACTCGAGTCACGCATGTGAAGATTTCCTTCCTTGCTCGAAATAAAACGTCTGCGTGTAAGTAATTTTACAAATATCTGTTCAATACGACCCCCTAATATTGAGGTCACAAGCAACACTATAGATTGCTATGACAACAGCTGTTTCAAGAGTCACACAATATGGGTTAAAAAGAGTCTAATGTGCTTTACCTGATATTCTTTCCTCCTAAACTTTACAAATAGTACAGATATAAGTGTTTCTTATAGTGTTTAAAACTAGTGTGTAACTTCATATGTAATGACAGAACAAAAAATTCGTTAAAATATTTCATTTTATTATTGGAGATATAATAGTTTGTTACAAAACAGAAACCTTAATTTTATTTTTAAGTTATTTCGCTTACGTTTAAAAATGTCATTAATATTAATAAACTGCTTTATGTCATTGTCTGATTAGGAATATATTATTCAAGGATATCACAAGGAGACGTTTATATATACACGAATTAAAAATCCAGATACTTATTTGAGAAGTTCTCCTCTTTAATAGAAGAAACAACTCATTTAATAGTAGTAGGGTTGTTTGTGGCCTAGTGGTCAACGTCATTGGTTATGAATCTAAGAGTTTCCGTCTGGTTGACGAAAAAAATGTCTTCCGCATTTTGGCTTCGTGGATGCGCTGTAAGAGTGACAATCAAATCCCACTATTCCATCAGTCAAGAGTTGGCATTTTGTTTTGATAACTAGCTGCCTTCCCTCTAGTCTATGAGTTGAAATTTGGTGACAGATAACCCTTGTGTAGATCTTTGTGAAAATTTAAAAAAACAAACAACTGAAACGTATTTTTATTGCATTTGATATGATATTTCATAGTTTTGACGTGAGACTTCAAACTTACTCTAAACCGCAAAATGTCAGTCGAATGGGACCACCCGTTGTATTATAGTTGATATTTTAAAAAATTAACATAACTACATCTGAAGGTTTAGTATTCTAATAAAGATTTCTAATAATAATTCAATCAAATTTGGGAAAAGATGAATAGATACATTATGCCTCCTTTGTTTGACGAATTTATATCTAAACATTTCGTAGTTTGTGACTGAATAAAGAGATCTAACTTGAATGATTTAGTTATTTTTTAAAACTGGTCGAATCTGACCGTTGAACTTCTAAGCTCTCTGGTTTAGTTGTGATTTCGCAAAGAGGCCTAATTTTAAATCTTTAGTTATTGTTAAACTTGTGGAAACTAACTTTGTTAAACTTTTAAGTTTAGTAGTTTTGTAGTCGTGATTGTGTAAAGAGACTTAAGATTAATACTATAGTTATTTTTTAACTGATCGAATCCGACTGTTGAGTTGTGAGCTTAGTGGTTGTGTATTCTTAGAATGGGGAAATAAACCTAACTTTAATACTTTAGTTATTTTTAAACTGATCGAATCTGACTGTTGAGTTGTAAGCTTAGTGGTTTTGTATTATTTGATTGGGTAAATAAACCTAATTTTAAAACTTTATTTATTTTTTAATTGGTCGAATCTGTGTACTTTAGTCTGTATAAACGTGGTTAAGTTAGGTAACTGTCAAGTCCTGTAATACAACTCCAATGAATCTTTGTGCTTTAGTCTGGTTAAAAGTGGTTAGATAACACTCCGCCCATGTATAGAGGAATGTTTGTTGAAGCTTTATCAAAATGTGTGATGAAAGATTGCCCTTACCTTCCTTTGCAGAAAGAGTAGCCAATCGAAAAATACGTTAGGCCTCTACATCATTCACGGGTTCCGCTTCTTTACTGAAATTACACGTTTTGCTAAAAAAGAAAAAATGTTAATTAGTAAATGTTCGTTTCAGACCTCCCACCACCCACCCACCTACCCAACTAGTCAGGATTGTCATATCAAAAACCGAAGTTTGAGGTCCGTTGTGGGCGTAGTACAGTATAGCTTCGCACTTGACAACAAACAAGCAATCGTTATTTAATTTCTGTGGTGTATAAAAGACATTTTAATAATAGAAATAAACGACCTTATAACACCAACTTTGTTATTTATCTTTAATTAGACACTCAACGTTAAAGATAAATAACA